AGAAGACGTTGGGTCCGCGACCCATCCGAAGGCCGGATCATACAGCGCTCGGCACTCTGACGACGGTGGCTTATTCAGACTCGGCCATCAACCATCCGCCGACTCCGAGAGAGCATCTCTCGAATCCTGTGTACACATCTCGTCCTCCTGCTCGCTAATGATGGGCAAGTGTTTCTTCTACTTCCTGTTTTCTTTGGCTACAAGCAATACATACTAAAAAATGTATAAGTCATTGTGACTCGACTTTTCATTTCGAAGGGAAAGTTGGCCGGAAGGGGTTCGTGAATTGGTCTCAGAGTAAAACCGAGGATGGATTATTTTGGAGGGAAACCTGTTGGAACATGCGAAGACGTCCTCGGCCCAGCCTCCCATGAATCCGATGAATGTGTGCTTAGCTTCCTTTTTATGCATCAGCCTCGTGCATGTGTCAAAATGTCGGGCAAACAAAAGGCACAGTTTGGTGTACAGAGTAAGCCGGCCACGTGTATTTTGTACTTATTTCTCGGAAATGATACTCCCTCGCTGTGACGATGCCTGTCATGGCGGGACAGGTGAAAACTCTGCTCGGATTCATCGCAGAGGACGTCTTCGCACAACCCAATGATCTGCCTCGGTTTCTGGTGACGCCAATTCACGAGATTCTTTCAACCAAATGATCCTTTGAACTGAGGAGTCGACATACACTAAACTCATTAAGAAAGTATTCGAAAACCAGCTTTTCTTAATTAATAACTCAATGAGAGTATGACGAATTAGATGGCCTTCGTTTTTGCCACTTGGTGATGTTACAAGGTTATGATGTTCATGATGCTTTCCAGCCTCGGATGGTTGACTTGATGGATTCATTGACGTTTTATCGGCAGTACCCCTTGCCAGTCTCAGCCATACATCATCACATGGCAACACTGCATTTTTCGGAGTTGTTCCAAAAACACAACCGAATTGGGAAAAGTGCTGCAGTTACTTTAAAGCTTGATCTCACTCGAAGACGAAGGCGGAAGAGGACTACCGGGCAGTCGGATTTTGTGGTTTTGTACCAGTTAGACCCTGATGCAATTTCCTGCCAACACGATTCAATAGTATTGACCTTTTTTCTATCCCGCCGTGACAGACGACGACAGAGTAACAGACCAGTCGTTGGCCAATTACCGGAGCTTGGCTGAAGCTCAGTTTCACTCCCTACCGAGGCTGAGAGTAGCAGGAAGTCACTTTTGGGACTTCACATATCAACGGTCCCAAATGCAAGGGTTACGGTAAAGCCAACTTGCGAATCCAATCCATCCAGCCTCCGAGTGCAGCGAAATGGGTAGGATTGTAGCTGGCTTCCAGAATTACACTCTTTCCGACACTCTCCGCTACGTCGAGGCGAACTCGAGCTCTGCCCACAGAAATCTGGTTCGTTGGACGGCGACACAAGGGATAAGGATCGCTCGTCAACTCATCGGCCATAGTTGCGAACAGATCATCCTTTGGCTTTGTTGGGGCCAACTTCTGAATGGCTCACACAAAATGTTTCCCACAATGTGAACATTCAAGTGAAACATAGGCAAAATGGGATTGTTGGAAGGCCTTGTCCTAGACTTATTTGTACAGCATGTTTTGTGAACAGAAACAGACAGACGCGAGCCCACCACGACTTTATCGGTTGCGGAAGAGGGTAAGGCGAAGACATTTTCGATCAACTTTTGTCACAATTGCAAGAAAAAATATTTTTTCGGTTTCCGGTCCGGCCAACTTTTCAACCAAGACAAAAGTCCAATAGCAATAACCATTATTACTGGACTCTTCGAAGCCCAACTTTTCTTCACATGCACAAAGTACAGTGAACTATCTAGCCCATCAACCTTTATTCAGCGATTGGCCAGCTAATCTGTATTATCAGTACAGAGATGCATATTTATTGATCCGTAGACACGTGCCCGCATACGTTGCCAGGAGCAGCTTGCATTTTTCCCAAGCGCCCATCTCTCAGTTAAGTCCGGTCAAGCGTGTGCATTAGGTTTTGCTTTGCTCCATTGCCTACCGGCCAGAAGCCTGGGTGCTGCTGGTCGGTGCGACGAGTTGCCGTGCTGCTACGTCTCTGGGGCGCCCAAGAAACGCGGGTCTGCGGAGCTGGAATGGGCGGTTCTGCACGAAAAGCCTGCTTTGCTTTACTTGAGACTGGCCCCTTCCGGAGCTCAGATTGCGCCGAAACCGGCATCAGTTGGTTGGATAAGCAGCACCAAAAAAGAAAAAGAATTCAGTCCTCTTGGACTGATGGAAATGAGGCAAGGACGGATAGTGGAGATTTTCCCAGTTGTAATCCCAATAGCTATAGTTAATCTAACAACCCTGTGAACATCTGGCTAACTGATCTCTTGCAAACTTGTGTTGTGCTTGCTTAGATTAACTGGAAACTGAGTAGATAACACTTTTTCCCATGGCAACCAGCAACATATACACTTTATTACCAACAATATCTGAAGTGTAATGCATACAAGTTCATGATTTATGTGCATATGAATGGGTAAAATGTATGAATATTGAAAAACTCACGAATTTGTGAAATTTGACGATTGGCAAATAAGTACTGAGAAAGATATGATGGTGAGTCTTAGTGTGGCATCAATGCTTTCAAAAAGTTCGGTTCAAGAAGTCGCGCCAGCTCTGATGCTTCATCTCGAGCTGCATACTAAAATAATAATGAGATTGAGTCTAAGTAAAGTAACAGTTTTTAAATCTAATATATCCACAGTTATAATTCATTTTCCAATAACAGGCTTTTGCGAACAGAGACAAACATACAATGAATTTTGCTTGCTTTAAGAATTAGATGCAAAATTTGAGGAATTCTTACTATCCCTACCGCATGATAGCGATCGTTTGAATATACTATTATATGTGAATAGACAATGTGAAAACATAACTGGGCTTACAATGGAGTTGGAGAGGGTCAATGGTGCATGAATAAAAGATATGCTGATTATTAAGGATGATACTAATTT